TATTCTCCAGTCGCCTAATTATACCTTAAAAATAATGTCAATTTTCGTACGTAAATATGTTTACCATCATAAGGTATTTATTAATGTTTAGAACAAATCAGCTCCTCGTTCACTCTAGAACAAATCAACGGATTTTGGTTCGATGTTTTCTACTAGGAAAAGATTTTGAAAATAATCGACCTTGTAGACGACCCCTTAAAAATCTACTTATCGCAATGTTATTGAGCTTTTCAAATTTAAAACTCCGATAATTATTGAAAAACGCTTCTTACCACTTTTGACCTGTAATATTTTTTTTTAAACAGATCGAATGATCCCCCAATGGTTTGCGAAGTTCGGCAGTTTTTTGGCACAAAAGAATATGAGATTCAAAAAGTTGATCCGTTTAAAAATTCGCAGGTTGCTTAAAAAAAAAAAAAGTTTTTAAAAATTTTTAAACTTTGACATCTTACAAACAAAGTAAACAGTTTTGATTTGTCATGTTTTTTATTTTTTTATAAAGGAACTAATTCTGGTAGACTTTTTTTTAAATTCTTAATATTTTAACACTATTAGATTTTTTTGTCAGGTACAGATTTCCTATCTTCCTCATTTCTATATAGTATTTTACTGTGCACAAACTGAAAGTATTTGTTTATACAGTATATTTATTTGAATAATTTAATATTAAATCGTCAATTCCTAGACAACCTCATACCCGAGCGTGGCCTCGAACGCAATCAAGGTCAAGTCAACAGCAACCATCACCTACATCACTTTCATCTAAAGAGCTACCCCCAGCTCATCAAGCTTCGATGCCACAATCGCAAGTTACTAGATCTGCGGCAGCATATCAACCCACAACATATAATAATGTAACAGCACAGGTAAATTTTTTTTTTTTTGTAATATTTTCATTTGTAGCATTACAAGTGTTGATGATTTGAGAAAATTAAGATTGATTCAAGAGATAGAGATTATAATACTCTAATGATTGATCATACTAAGTAATTAATCAATTGGTTATTAATTATTCCAGATTTCTATATTTATGATTGAATTCTCTTGTGTATCATTTTGACACCATTTACAGTTTTATTTTCCATTCCATTTAACAAAGTGATTTTCTTGAAGAATAAAGCTGATTAGTTCTTGAAATTGAACAGTACAGTCGTGTAGAAATTTTTTGAAAAAATACGAGTTTTTTTTATTTTATTTTATTTTTCCAAATCAAGCAAACCAACTCACTTCAAATTGTCAAAAACTTTGAATTCAGTAGGTTATGTAATGTTGCAAACTTCATGATACTTTAGTTTTTCAATCATTCATATGAGCTTATTGAGTATTATTTTAATAAAAAATTGTTAACTTTTTAAAAGTTCAAAATTGTTTAGAATCACAGCTCCAATTTGTTTTGACCATCAAAAATCAAAAAATTAATAAAAGATTAAATTTTGTTTGACCCAGATATTTTTTTTCTTGTAGTTTATCTAAGTCGGAATAAAAAAAAAAACGTTAACCATGAAATATCGAAAAATTGACATTTTCAAATTTTCAATTCTAAAAATTGACGATCATTTTTTTCATCGAAGTAATGTCTACATTCATCTTGATTTAATTTTTTAAAATTAATTTTTATTTTTCAGCGTTCTAATACAAGTGTATATCAACCGTATCCCTATCCATCAAAAGTACTTCCACCTACACTACAAATTCAACAATCCAGCCAATATCCTATTCATCCAGATGTTAGACTGAAAAAGCTACCATTCTATGATTTATTAGGAGAACTATTAAAACCTTCAAGTTTAATGCCACAAGGCTCGATAAGAATTCAAGAAAATACATTCCTTTTCCATTTGACTCCACAACAAGCCAATGATATTGCCAATTCAAGAGATTGTCGAGCCGGTAGCAGAATGGATTACACAGTTCAAGTACAAATGCGATTTTGCTTACAAGAAACTTCATGTGAGCAAGAAGACTACTTTCCACCAGGCGTTGGTGTTAAAGTTAATGGCAAACTCTGCCCATTACCGGTATTTTCAACATGAATTTACTATCAATTATTGCAAAGCATGTTTTTTGAATTTATTTTTATAAATATGTTTTTAATTTATCTAGAATCCAATACCTACAAACAAATCAGGAGTTGAGCCTAAACGTCCACCCCGCCCGGTTAACATAAGTCCACTAGTGAAATTATCACCTACTGTCGGAAACCAAATTCAAATAACTTGGTCAGCTGATTATGGAAGAAGATATGCAGTGGCTGTTTATCTTGTCCGAAAATTGACCAGTTCAGAATTATTAAACCGATTAAAAACCAAAGGAGCTCGACATTCCGATTACACTCGAGGACTAAGTAACTATTTATTATTATATATAAATACAAACTGATATTTTTCAACTTCGTTGAACGTTTGATAAAGTTAAGTTATACACCAGTAGCATTGGATTTGAAAAAGATACTTGAACACAATCTTGGTAAAAAAATGGAACATTTTTGAACAAGATAGTTTATCAAGATTCTTTGTCCAGACTAGCGGCAGAATTGGACAATATTTTTGAGCAGAATGTTGAGCAATACTTCTAGTCTGGTCAAATCTGACTGTCGATTCTGAAGCCAGACTTCCAAATTCTTAGTCAAGACGTTTGACAGACTTGCATGAGGATCGCAAAAGATTACGCATACACACCCCTTCTCTTTTTGATACCACGGAATATGGTAGTAGAAACATGAAATTTTTGGTCATATTCTCGTTCAAGCTTAGCCCAAAAATCTTGATCAATGATCTGTAGCAATTCGATGATTCTCAAGTAAAAATCTTGGGCTAGAATTTTCGAAATCTAGGCCAAACTTCCATAAAGCCTGGCCTAAAATATTATTAGGGAAAAATCTAAACTTGAAATTTGATTGGTATATTTCTTATCTAGAAAGATTTTCACTATAATGAGCTTAGTAAAAGTTATACACCGATTTTTAAGGGTGTTAGAAAAAAAAAGTAGATACAAAACTTCATTAATGTATTTGTTTTTGTAAAGTCAGGAATTTCTCACCAGATAAATAAAAACAATTAATTATTTCTACAGATCTAACCAAAAATTTAATTTTTAGTTAAAGAGAAATTGAATGAAGATGCAGACAGTGAAATTGCAACAACTTCTTTGCGTGTTTCACTTGCCTGTCCTCTTGGAAAAATGAGAATGAGCACGCCCTGTCGTTCTTCTACTTGTTCACATCTACAATGTTTTGATGCATCATTATTTTTACAAATGAATGAACGTAAACCAACGTGGAACTGCCCAGTTTGTGACAAACCTGCACTCTATGATCATCTTGTTATTGATGGATATTTCCAAGAAGTTTTATTATCTAATAAATTATTGGCTGACGTCAATGAAATACAATTGTTACAAGATGGGTCATGGGAAAATCTTGTATCTAAAAAGGATCGAGATAAAGAAAAGAGTGATAAGTCTGACACTAAGTCTCGTCCAAAAATTGATGTAGATACAGTCGATTTAGGTAAAGTGAAGAAACTCAATCTTATAGACTTTATTTAATGTACTCTTTGTGTTTGTTAATATAATATTTATAAATTTTTATTTTCATTTTAGATGAAGGAAATGTGGCTTCGACGCCCGAAAAGAAAAGTGCTCCAGTAATTGATTTGATTTCAAGTGACGAAGATGATGACGACAATGATTATAAACCCTCTAGTAAGAAAGGTGCTACTCTTTTACCTAAAAAAAGTCAATCAAATCACAGTGCTATTAGTAGCACCAGTGAATCTCCAGAACTTATGATTATTGATTTAGAGTAACGTTCATTTTTTTAAAACGGTAACTTTTTTATCAAATTTGATTAATGTATCTTTGTAAAATGGATTGTCAGCTACAATTCAAATAAATACTTTTATGTTTGTAATTATTTAATCATTAAAGTATCATCACAAAGAAACGTTATTTTCTATTTTTCAAACGTATTTTTATTTTATTTTAATGAATAAAATGTCCACGGGACTATCATTATTGTATAATTCATTTCAGAAATTATCTCCAAACTATAAGAGTAAAAATTCAATTAAACTAGTTATTTTCGATAATTCTTCAATATACTTTACTTTAAACAGCCTTAATTTAAGTAAACTTGCACATTATTCGCGTACTATGAATAATATGCAATAATATTTTAATGAAATATTGGCAATGAGCCATTTATATGTATCATGGTTTTGATTAAAATAAATTTTATAAGATAAAAACGTATCGTATGACACCATATATTTTTATTTTATTTTATAGCTGATGCCAATCTCTTCTTTGCTCATTTTTTGTTTTTATATGCAATTTTGTCTCTAATAATATATAGAAAACTTAATTTCAAAGATTTTTTTGTTTTGTTTCTTTATCTACTCAAATGTTTCATTATATTAACACTAATAAACCTAGAAATATCTCTTATTATTAATTAATTATTAACAAAGATTCTTCAATAATTAAATCTCAAGGCAATGTTATTCAAATGGAACGGCGTGTTTTACCCAGATTCTAATTAGATAGATTCCCGACTACACAGAAAATCTTCAACTCAGATCCCGATTACGCAAACATATGTGTAAAATGATTCATTTAAGACGCCGTCCCTTTGAATTATTCGAATGCATGCGCACAGTCTTGGAACTATACGAGGACATGCTCGCAGCAAGTTCAAAGACACTAAATTATGAAGGGTAGAGTTCCTGAAATATAATTTTCAACTATTTCATTCATTAATGTGAATCATTGATATTTTTTACACAGGGTCAAAACTGTGTTTGATACAAACTTAACAGTTACTTACTTAGATTTAAGTCATTTAAGATAGGAAAGAGAAATAATAATTTTTTTGTAAAAAACTGAATTTATGGAAACTTAATAAATAGTAACATTAATATGAATCTTGTCATTTTTTAATTAAAAAAAAGTTTTTGGTTTAACAAAAATTATTAGTTTATATTGATTATCATTAAATTATTTTAAAAATAAACTGTAAGATTTAATTTATCAGGTCCTTGATAGTTATTTTCACTTCGTTGCTCTGCTTTTTCGTCAGCAACTTTATCTGCAATCTTATATCGAGTTAAAGTGTATTATTTATAAGAATTTAGTAAAAAATAAAAAATAACTTACCCTGTCATCATTCCAAGACAATTTTTTTACATGTCTCGAAGAATCTTCTGCTGGCCAAACAGGAATTAATGAGTCAGGCGGATCAGCTGAATAATTTGAAGAATCTTGCGACAGAGTGTCAATGTTGACTTTTGCACTTAAATCATTCATATTTTGTACTAAACCACCAATGTTGGGAATATTTGACGTTGCTGATAATGAAGGTGGGACTGGTAACGGAGCAACTTTGTGTCTATTATATCCCGGTATATGCCGCGTCGATAATGCACCTGTAATAAAAATAAAATACCTGTATAGAATTGAAATCAATTCAAATGACGATTATATTCAAATTTTTACCTCCAGCATTGTATAAGCTTTCATCATCTTTTCCAAAAACTGGATTGCTAACATTTTTATTTCTTGAACGGTGCTTTTTTTTTGCATCTTCTGACGTATCGTTAATAACATTCGCCCCTAAAATTTGAGGACTGGGATTTAGAGCGGAAGGTACTGATGATTTATCTCTGTATCCTGTTCCAATTGAACTCACTAACCCTTCATTTTTTGGATGTTTACTATAAAAAAATATTTAGAGTTATTCCTTTTCACTTGTATAATTATTAGTTTGACTTACTGTTTATAAATATATAAAATAAGAATTAATATAACTATGCCAAGTAAACCCAGTACTACTCCAAAAGCAGCTATAAGAAAAATACTGCTACTAATCCAAGGTGGAGAAGCACGGGCGGCAATTAGGCTGGATCGCGTGTTAGGTAAGTGTACAATTAACGGAATCATACTAGTCCTGTAAATGAATAAAAAGTAACGTTACAGTAATTTTTTATACATCATAAACATGGAAGAATAAAATAAAAATCACCAGTTTTAGACACTTAAAAGATTTTAGTAAAATACTAATAGGGGAAAAATATAAATCATAAAATAATTGACTCATATAAATTAATATACAATTTATTTGTTTATGTCTCATCATCTATAAAATACTATAAATTTCTCAAATATGAATAATCATTAATTTAATTATCGATCATCGTAGTAATTGAATTAAAATGATAATGATTTAACTATTAGTTTGGTATGCATTAAAATACGAAAAATAGCCTAATTAAAAATTATTTTCTGTGAATGATGACTCATCTAATAAATTATCATGGAACGAGATGTTTAATTTTTTTGATTGATTTTGAGAATTATATGGCTAAGCTGATAAAACTATACAGAAAGAAATGATTCCTTATAACTGATAAGTAATACTACAATTATTTAAAAATATCGTTTTAAATAGTAAAATAATGATTTTAAAATTTAACTGTATTGATATTAACTGTTTAAATATTAAAATTAAAAATTACATTTTGTTTTTTTGCAGAAAGTTACTGTTTTAAACAATAAAAATATTTAAAAATCAAAGAAGGTAAATTGATGGATTATCTATTAGAAAATTAATTTTCTTTGTATATGTCTGTACAGTATCATAGAAGAATAAAACAACAGAATAGTGTCGAAAACTGGTACTCTTATCCTAAATAGTGATAACAATACCGTGGCGGTTTTCCGGAATCGGTTGCAACAGCTACCAAACGAGCTAATGTACCGTTGAATGGCCCAGAAGATATTAAAATAAGCTCACCATTTTCTTTGATATGAAAAGATCTAGAAATTTAGAAATCCAAAGAAGTTATTTAAAAGTTTTAGAATCTTAATTATTAAAACTACTTCGTATAAATACCGAGCATCGGGTCCTCTTAACGACAGTGTAACTTTATCACCCCTATCACCGTCCGCCGCTTCAACTCTTCCTGTAAGTGAATAATTATTTTAATTAAAGATCTAAAGTAATTTTAGTAATTCCATTGATATCAAGTCACTCTTCAAGCTCAAAAATAGGGTTTTTAATACATTTTTTAACTTTTTAAGCTCAAAAATCTGACAATTACTTGAAAGACATTATTTTTTAATATTATACTGTGGTGTCTCTCAAATGAATCAATTGATCGAGATGAAGTTTTCGACATTCAACCGACTTTTTTGAGCACAGAAACTTAAAATTATTTTAAAGAAACATTTTTTTTTTATTTTTGAATCGCGATATGTTCTGAACGAATCAACCGATTTTAATGCAATTTGTGATACCTATTGTTGTTTTCTGAGAACAAGAACTCATTAAGATTCGGAGTTAATTGAACTGAAAATATTAATTTTTCAATATTTTTAAATTTTCAATTATCTTAGCGGAAAGTTTTTTAAATGATATATTTGAATTTCAGTGTTTTCCTTGTTGCTACGTGACTGCAGATTTTTGTCCACGACATTATCATATTATAATTCGATCTTTTTCATTTATATTTTTTTAAGTCATTAGGTCACTTTTGATGATCACTCTAGGGCTAAACGATAATTATTTTTTTAAACTTACCGACAATAGATCCTTCCCGGAGAGTACGAGTGTGGAATTCATATCTTGGGTGACGAAATCTTGGTTCCCACTCATTAATATCTTCCACTGATACATGTACCCGTGCTGAATCATTCTATAATAGCAGTTGAAAATTTTGTCGTTAAATTTTTTTTATTTTATTTTTTAGATACTTATGAAATGGTTAATTTTGAAAAGAATATGTATAATATTAAGTCAGATAGTTAAAACTTTTTTTCACTTGGGTATTTTTAATTTATAATCAAAGAAATTCAGGAAAAGAAAGCAAATTTCAAATACCAATTTATCTATCCACATTAAAAAAAAAAAGCTTTTGCATTTACTCAATGATTAATTCGAACATGTTTTAGATCAACCTCAATAAATTGCGTTCGAATTGGAAAATATTAATTTTACGCAAATCTTCATAACAGTTGTCAGTTAATGAAAGGATTAATTTCGATGATTTAGTTTTAGAAGATTTTATACTATAATAACGGTCACATTTATTTTTTTCGGAATATTTTTTAAGAAGTCGAATTTTTCTGAAAATCGTACTTAAAATACAGATAAAAATATTTTTATACTTATTTACGTGTATATACACACATTAATACCATCTGTTACATGGATCACAAAATTATGGTGAGTTTTTTTTTCATAATCCAATGTCTTGTTAAGAATTATTTCTCCAGCAGAAGAAACAATAAATTTATCTTTGGTATCGTCTGAACTTTCCAGCCAAAATCTTAAATTCTAAAACAATTTAATAAACAATTTATTAGTAACCAAAATTGACTATGCTTCAGATTTCAATTAGACGCATTCGCTCCGCACACATCTAATAATGATTAAATAGTCTAATACTACAATCTTGAAATCAGTGCGGTTGGATAGATGAAAATGTATGAATTGTTCGCTTACAGTGTTTATTTTGTTGAGACCAGTAGAGAGAATAACACTACCAGATGGTGTATTTTCTGGAACGTTTATTGTAAAGTCTTTGAGAAGAAATTTTATTGGCATCTCTTCACCTGGTTTAGTACAAAAAGAGAATGCTTAGTTAAAATTTGTAATCATTAAATTAAACAATTAGAAATGCAATGAACAAAAAAGATCAGATCTAAAATGTTGTAAGAAATATGAGATTGATCTGTTTTTGACTATCATACTCTTACATTTTTCGAAAATTCACTTCTACAATTTTTATTCAATTTCAAAGAGAAATTTACAGTAAATTTATGGTCTGAAGTTGTAGGCATAAAAGTTCAAAATTTTCGAAGTTCACCAGCAATTCAAAAATTACAAGTGCCTCGAATGAATTCTTTGATAAAAATAACTATCTTCATGAGAGTAATCAAAATTTTTTTTATTTTATGAGAAAGTTTAAAATTTGTTTTAAATATATTAATTTTGATAAACAAATTTTCGGATACAATCATTGGCTTCAAATTATGTAAATACTAAATTTGTAAATTGGCATTGATTTCTAAAATTAAAAGGTTTATGCATTTTATTAATTTAAATCTGTCAATAAACTACTCAGAATTCTATCGGTATAATAGAAGTAAAATAAATGGATTATGCCCATAAACAAAATCAAAATAGTATAGTGACTAATAACATACAAAGGGTCGATTAAATATCACCTCACGATCATAGGAATGGGGAGGGGGCATGTCAAACGTGACAGTAGAAGTTAAAAAGATGTAACAGAGCGTGATAAAAGGGAAAACACGGGGTTCAAAAAATCGATATTTTCCGTGAGGTAATGGTTGAAAAGTCCCTCAATCAAAATTAACAAGATCTGATTATCATTGTAAATTAATAACTTTTAAACAGACAATAATTTCATTACAAAATGATAAAAGTCGACTGATAGATTTTTCAAAAAAGTATGATTACATGATTAGTAATTTCAATTTTTCCATATTTGAAAAAATTCATTAGTTTAAAAATAACTTTTTTGCGTTATTGAAATGAAGAGTAGAAAATTTTTTAATTAGTCTAATATGGTACAAAAAAAATGTTGTAATATGGTACAAAAAAAATGTTGATCTAAACTGGCTTTCAGTTTAGAAAAATATATTTAAAAAAAAAATGTCATGCTTATAATTTATTATTTATATTTTGTTATTTCTAAGCCTTTTAAATTTAGCTTATAAGTCAAAAATATTATTTTATTTTTTGTACCTGCAGTAGGGATTGCATTTAGGCTATTTTCTCTCGATATTATAACGGTTGCTAAGCTGAATCTGTCAGGATTATCTATTTGTATTGCCTGAGAAATAAAAATTACATTACATTATTTTTCTTTTTCACGTTTTATTTAAATGTGATAGTTTTACCTTAATGACTATGGTGGTTGGTGTAAGTAATTCCCGATCTTTTAATCTTCGTATTAAAGTAATTTCAGCAGTTTGAGAATCTAAATGTAAAAACGGCAGCATACCATTCTGAACTGTATATTTGATGGGTGCATTGATGCCAATATCTTGATCTATAGCCTTAATTGGCACAGGTTCTACAGGCAGAATTATTTTCTCCTAAAATCATTAAATAAAATAATCTTATTTTGTTGTGCTGTATGAAGGTGTTAAATTAAAGGAGAAAATTTATTTTATTGAAAATTATACATCGTTGGTTTCATCAGATATAACAATTCTATACTGATCGTGACTAAAGACAGGATTTTGGTCATCTGCATCGATAACATTTACTGTCAACGTTGTAACAGAGGACTGAGGCGGGTTTCCTTGATCCTAAAAAAAAAAAATTTCTTACTGGTACAATAAACTCTAACTTAAATCAGTGAGGAGAAAAGAACTTCAATACAAAATTTTTTAAACCTGGCTAAAAGAAGTACAGACTTTTGACTAGATTTAAACGAATTACAAAGTATATGGGTCCCTTCACCAGATAAAATCATTATGACGGAGTGACCCCAGCCGATCCATTCAAATTTTGTGACAAAAAATTGCTCTGAAAATTTAATTTCTTAACATTAAAGCGCTTTGAAGTAATGACTTTTTTGACTTTGCTAATTTTTTAATTTTTTCAGTAATTTTTGGTAAACAGGAAAAATTCTAAAACGAATCCAAACATCACCCTTTTTTATGCCAAACTTTTAAAATACGATTAAAGTTGAGAAAATCATTTAATTGGCCTTACGACATTTTGACGTTTTTCTAAATGCTTAATAAATAAAGTGTAAAATACACACAAGTATTATTTATTTATTTATTGTATATTTCAGATGTACAATTTTACAAATCATAACACATTCCCCTCCCATTAAATCTAAATAAATAAACATATATTATTTAACAAGTAATTGATTATTTTGAAATTAAGTGAGAATGATGGAAGAATTAGTAGTGTGAATAATTTTTTTAAAAAGTTGTTTCATATCGAAAATAATATATTTCCGACTAATTGTCGATTAAAAGCATTATTTAAAGATTCATTTTTTCTTCACGAATTCATTCTTCGCAAAAAAAGTTATTTAAAAAATAAAATCATGGACTTCAATTTTTCACAAAATTTGAAGATCGGTAAAGTCACGCCGTAAAAAGATAGTATTTAGTACATGAAAACAATTAATTTGACTCAATACCAAAATTCTTGAACCAAGAAAATCATTTTTGAGAGTTTCATCGACTAGAAAAAAGATGAAAAGCTTATAAATCAAGCAAAATTACTCAAACCAAAAAAAAATTTCTTAGTTTGAAAAATTTTTTTTCTTTGATTAAAGATGATAAAACTTTTTAAAATGACTATCTTGGTTCAAGAATTTTTCAGTATAGAATGATCCATATATAGCTGAGCATTGCAAACAATGCGTTTGATTGTATAAAAAAAAATTTATAAAAATCTAAAATATATAAAAATTACCTGGGCACGAATAGTAACAGAAAAATTCTGCAAAGTTTCATAATCCAGTGGTTTTTTAAGCACAAGTGTTCCTTCAAGAGCATTTATAAAAAAAAAGTAATCCTAAAAGTAGTTTTGTTATGAGTATTTCAAACATACAATTCTTAAATAATAATTGCAATAAAAATGGGTATAATAATTACAGAATATGGGCCTGGAAGAACAGCGTATTGAACAGTCGAATAAGGTCCGGGCTGATCTAAATCCATAGCTCGTACTCCTTGTAACACTCTAGTACCCACAACAGTGACCTTAATCGGATATATAAATATTTTAATTACAATAAAATACAATAATACTTAAAAAGAATATCTAACTAATTTAATCAGCATCAAAACAAAACAATTTCGAAGAATATAACTTTGTTGATAGCCTGTCGAGGCAATTGAATTCATCCGATAGCTAACCGATCAACGATTGGTAATAGTTGGTTGACTGTAGTTATAAAGTTATCAGCAATGAATCATGCTTTTTTTGATCCTATATTCTTCAGTATTTTAAAATTTTAAAATCGATAATTCTAAAACCGATTTTATGCAGTTGATTTTTTAATTTTTCGTTTGAAATTCAGAGTAATGCAGAGCAAAAGAAAATAGAAATAAATAAAATTTCAAGTGTGCAACACTTCGACACTAATAGAAAAACTATTTTGATTCGATAAAAATATTCTCGATCCTAGAAAATTACTTTAAAGACTGACTTCTTGCATATTCACCAGATATAATCTGGCACTATAAATAAAATTTTATATGATTGCATCAAAAATAATAGCAACGATATAATAATACAAGAGGAAAACAAAGAAAAATAAGAAGAAAATAAGAATGAAGAAAGATTAGACTACAATGGAGCATTAAAGTTTACGGTGAAGTATTTGATATAACTTTACAACAAACAGAATTTTCAAAATATTTTTTAATAATAAAAATAAATTGTGTTTAATATACGATTTGTTAACCATTAGTAAATATTTTTTAAATCATCTAATATTAAAAAATTCTTCATTAGCAGTTAATAAAGATTATTAAATATCAACAAAATCCTTCTTTCAATTTATATTAACAGATCGAAGAAGAGTGGATTAAAAAAAAACTCACGTAATTAAGTTAAAACAAACTAAAATAGGAAGTGCTTTACTATCAAATTTTCTATCATTCTCTGTACAATGCCCACTCTTTTTGAGAACCATCAGTGGTCAGTGTACCCAGGTTTTACTGTATTTATTTTTTTTAATTTTAAGAATAAAGAAGACACTTGCAACATCCAAGTAAGCAATTAGAATTATTACACTTGTAAAAGGTTTTCCGTGCTTAAAGTTACATTGTATGAACATAATATTTAACATTTACATAAATGTAACTGTTCAAGAATTATTAATATCGTTAGAAAATGGTCTAAAGGTAATTTCCTCTTGTTTTATTCAAATAATAGTTTGATAACGATTTACTCATATCTTACTAACATCAGAAAGAAGAAGTTTATTATAACGGTAAAAGCCGGTGAGTGCTTATAAATAAAACTCTTGTTCATTAAAATCAAGTGGGACGGCGAGGTGAGTGCGGGTGTTACGCGTATTGAGTGTAGCTATACTAGGACTATTGTCTGGTCAGTGCCACACTAACACAGCGGATGCGCACTATCATCACTAACTCTATACTTGTTGGTTGTTCAAGTTACGCTTTGCTGCATTTCATGCATTAATGGCTCAACAATGAAAGTTGCAAAGATACCGAATAAATTATCTTTTAACTTCTTTCAAGAAAACTTCTGGTTTTAAATTTTCGTCTTTTGGTCTATAATAAATTTCATCTATTTCTTCTCTTTCTTCTTCTTATAAGTAGTTTTTTCTTACGATATGTATATAAAAAATAAAGAATAATCTATAAACTATTGAATTTTATTTTACTTACTTCAGAAATATTTAAAATATATGGAGCGTTGATAAACTGGGGTGCATTATCATTAGCATCAGTAACTCTTATATTTACCGGAATTGGAAAGGCCTGTGCAATGAAATTCAATAGTTAGTAATGGTTCATTTCATTTATACAATATTTAATAATTGTAATTTATTTATAAAAATGAACATTTTCGCAAGCATAAATTTTAGAAAGTATTAGAAAGTTTTTTTGTATTTTCGGGATTCAGAAACAACTTTTGACTTATAGATTACAAACAAAGTAATAAAAATAATGAACTTACTGGATCTAAAGTATGCCGTCTTTCGCAAATAACAGTAATGTAAACACTAGCAGGACCATCAATTCCTTCTTTATCAAGAGCTTTAACGAGAGTTAAATTTCTAGAATTGGGTAATATTGTTACCGGACTATCATGTTCTTGGAGTCTAAGTTCAATATCGCCGCTAATACTTGGATCCCCAAGTACGCCGAGTACTCCTATGGTTTCGCCAACGCTTTTGTCTTCGCTAACAAAAAGATGGGAAGCTGATGCTCCATTTTCCAAAAAGCATCGTGTATCTCTGATTACTTTAATAAAAATAGGAAAATAATGATCGAAGGTGTTACGAAAACAAAAATAGAATTAAATAAATCGGTTACTTACTTTGCCCGTAAGTCAAGTATAATAGAAACAATAAAATGAACAATATTTTTATCATTTTATTTTCCATACTAGTTGAAAATAGTTACGGATCCTATTTATGTTTTCCTCCACCATCTACAAAAGAATTTTCGGTTTTCAAATAATTATTCGTCATTTCGAAATTTTATAGATTTTTTCTGTTCACTTACTACGAAAAAATAATTCGCAACCCAATTTTATCACAATAACGATGTAAATTTAACTGCACTGTTATTTTTTCTTCAAAAAAAGAGAAAACGATAAATTATAATCCACAAATTGCCACTATTTATTAAATATATAATTATTATTTTATTATTGATTACACAAATTACTTTCAACACTAAATCTACTGACAATTGTAATTTAAGTATCACCCAGATTTAAAAAGAAAAAAAAAATAGCGTCATAAAAGATTTGGTGAATGTCCGGTAAAACTGGCCGTAGGGCCGTAAAATGGTCTGCTTTCGAGACTTTAATACAAACAGAACCGAGCAGACACTCAGGAAGTGGACAGGTAAGGGGGGATAGTCTCCCCATTTATATGAACAGGTGTTCATAAACAGCGTCGCCGTACAACCATCATCCATCATGAACGAACTCACTGAATTTTATTTTTTAAATAAAAGGAATTGCCGCGAAACATAATATAAAAATGATAAAAACTATATGTAAACTGTATAATATAAATTGACCTGCATTGCTTGAGAAATAGAACAAAGGATGTTTGTTTCACTTCAATTGTTTGCCAGGCCAATCTATACTTTCTCGAGTAATCACGATGGCAAAAATAAATTAACTTTAAAAACGATACTGTTTACATGATAGGTATTTCAAGTATCTTACGTCAATTTATTATAGTAGATTTTTGTAAAGAAGAAATTTTTTTAAATTACAAAGTAATACTAATATAATCACAAAAATTTATAAAGTTTTTTCATCTTTAACTGCTGTATTATGGTGAAAAATCATCCTATCAAGATCCAAAGAAAGACAAACACAGGGTGAAGAGAGTTTGTGTGTAAGTCTCTGATAACCTCTGTATGAAAAGATCGACCTATCAAAAAAGTATTAGCGGCATTCTAAAAGGGTACCCTGAATTTAGATTATTTGAAAATTTCAAACGATTCAGTTTAATAGATTTTGTTAAATCTAAAAAAAAAAACTTTCATAAAAATATTTTCTTTGAATAACTTTTAAGCTAATGTGCTAACCGATTTCAAAGCGTAAACAGATTTTTAATTTAAAAAATAACGTCGATTGCACTAAAGTCCATTAACTTCTAAGGTTCTTGACAGATTGATTATTTTGATTGAGCCACTTGTTTGTTATCGAAAAACTACGTCGAATGTCACGAGGCGTATCATTAATATCGGTTCATTCGAAGAGTTCAGGGCAAGTTTTTCAAACCATGTTTCTTTTCTTTTAACATAGGAAAAAAATCTTTCTTAACAAAAAACATAATTACACAAACTTTTGAGATTGAAAATGCCAGGGAGTTTCAGTTATGGTTTGTCGGTCAACAGTTTTCCAGATTTTTTTTTGTTTACGATAACCAAAAGGGTTGGAATCGTGTCATACAGGGTATCCGTTTTTATTTACCTTCAACTTTACAAGTCTACAACTTTTTGTTTTATTTATTTTTCAATTTTTTTTTGTATATTCTAGAAAAAAAATAATTATTTCTTCATACGGTTTGTTTGGAAATATGTTTTTTTTTTTTAATAATTTTTGGTCGCTTATGATTTTTATATTTTTTATTGGCAAATATAATTTTGTGCAAAAAGTTCTTAATACTTCCAATATGAATATTAAAGTTCCTGAGATGATTGAAGTTATATCCCATACTTAACACCGTAATGATTTAACTTACTTAACCCCTTAAATCTGACCTTGAACCCCCACTCTACCAACTTCTTTTGTTATGGTTTATATTATCCCAAACTCATCTTACACCAAAACTTTCGCAAGTCTCCAAGGACTCCAGATATTTTGATGATGAAGATAATTACGAACAGAACAGAAATTTTATAAATTAATTTATTAACAAACGAAATAAATAAGTTAACTTTAAAAAGTATCAATTACAAAAATCGATAATACACGGAGAAAAAAAATGAAATTTTTACTTTTTCTGCATAGGAAAAATTTTATTATATCGATATTGTAACTTTTACTTTCACAGTATTAAAAAATTAACTTGGTAAAATAGAAGAAATTCCTATATTTTTATATAGAAATTTTTCTTATGTGTATAAAAATTAAGTAATTAGGAAATTTTTCTATTCGTTAATTAATAAAATATTAGGTAGTTTATGAAATTTAGTTACATGTGGATTTTTTTTTGGAACATAAGAATTTTTTCTTTGGTGACAGAAATTTCACCGGTCTTAACATACAATCGTCTTCTATGTTAAAATAGGATTTGTTCGATAGTGTCAAAAGAATTTTTTCTTAACATCTTAATATAAAAAAATTGCTATGTCAATACAGAAAAGATTAATATATTAAGATAAAAAAAATTCTCATGTTGGCCTAGTGCAAATACTTGTCATAATAGGAATTTGTCTTGTGTAAATATAAAAGAAAAAAAATTTCACATTACACACAGATAAAATCCCTAAAAAATTATGGGTATTTTTCTTATTTTTTGATAGGAACAATGCGTATGTTAAAATTTCTATCAATATAAGAATTATTTCTGTGCAAAAATAGAGAAAACTCTCATTTAGTTTTTACCATGCAATAAATCTAAAAAATGATCGACAAAAATAAATTATGTAAGTAGATTTAACAAAAAAATGATCGATGTCTTACTTATTTTGTCAGAAAAAAAAATAATGCCACTTATCATGTAAAGAAAGGTTGTATATTATTTATTCGATCTATTGAAGAAGAGCATATATTCTTTTTTGTAATGCAATCAGGTACAAAATATATCGATCATGGAAGTCCACTGTATGGAATTGCTGATGACTGATGACACTTCCGATTGTATCTGTGACTTTGTTTAGAAAAAATTTCCATAATCTATTCGAAATATTGATATAACATCACATTTATTTCAATTTTCAATATAGGGTTACATTTTTTAAAAAGATATTAAAAAACTAAATAAAGTAAATCAATACTTATTTACGATGACCAATGTTTTTTATTATTTTTAGTTTTTATATTGGACTAATTAATAAATTAATTATATATATATATATATATATTTATTTATTGAGTGTTTCATTTTCAGGCACAATTTTTTTTTGTCCAATCTAAAAAACTGATAATTTTGGGGGAAGAATATATTTATAATTAGAGAAAAACTCCACGTGAATTAGAAGCAAATTTTCCACAAATACAATTAATTTTGCGGATAAGACACTATTTATGATCACTGAAATACGATAATAACAAAAACCACGTTCATTTAGCAATAGATATTTACGTACCTAGGGAGGAAAGTAGGATATCCCAATTCGCGTGCATGCCACCCTCGACTTCGACTCGGGAGGCAATTTTACACGCGGGTTGGAATATTCTACTTTCCTACCTCGGAGTGTAATATACTATTAAAAACTAATTAGTGTTTCTTCTTTTTTGATGAGTTTTAAAAGATTATTATACATAATTTTATGTCTTTGTAAAAGGTATATTATTTTGCGCAAAGCCAGTTTCAGTATGCTTGATGTTGATGCAATTACTTTGTCTGGTATTCCAATGGGTATGAATGGAGTCGCACAGTACTTATATTTTTTTTTGTAAAATTTGTGTACTCAGAATGATGCTGAATATAAAATAAATCACAATTTGAGATAAGCTTAACCTCTAATTCACTTGGAATTTTTTTTTCTTACATAATTATATTGTTTTTTCTACAAATTATGTCATCAGTTTTGCCAGTAAAACAAGACAAAAATAAATATTGCCTAAAAATGAAACGCTGGATTATATATATTGCTTTACAGTTATTAAATATGATTATTACAAACTAATTGATCATTAAAGAAATTGTGATTGTATAAAACAATGTAAGAAAAATCAAATATTAAATGTTTAGTAATATTTGATCGAGTGAAAAAGCGGTAATTATGAATCTACATGTTGATGACTATGAATCATTTTATTTATTCTATAATAGTATATGTTTTTACAGTTTTGACTTGATTGATTGATGTATTGGTTATATTAATAGTTGCCATGTAAGAATTGTCTTAAGCTCATTAAATTGTAAATGTAAATGCCAGTATCAGTTCGATATTTTTTTTTTAAGTTATAAAACAATACACAATTTACTTTTAGTAGAAACATTGTCGAAAACAATAATTAATTTTATCGGATATTTTGTTTTTTATATTTGTATATAATATTTCTTCAATCGAATCTCAAAACATCTTGTTGGACCTACTTTCTTAACTGAGAGTTAATTTTTAAAAATGTTTCCTAAATATTTCGTAAATATCAATTACTTTCTTGTATTTGTTATTATTATTTATTTTAACGTTTATTTTTAACCGGATATATCATTAGTACTTTAAGGTAACAAAAAAAGTTAAACAAAAAAATAGTGTGCTTACAGTATAATACTAATAAAAACTTTTCTCATGTTGCGAATACTTATATACAACTCTAGCAATAACAATAATATTTATTTATTTGATTTATAATTAAACAAATAAATATTAATAAGAAAATAATAATAATAATAATAATAATAATAATAATAATAATAATAATAATAATAATAATAATAATAATTGTGTTTACATATTCATGCGCATATTATAATTACCATTAGGACGTTTAGAAATGTATTTTGAATACTTGATACGCGAATTATTATACAATGTTTATGAGTTTATGTCAAATAATTATTCCGGTTATTATTTGGTTTTCCTACGAAAATCTCATTAAAGTTCGATTTACAATCAATCAATTTTTTAAGCTTTAAAGTATTTTATAATAAATAATTAAAAAATTGTAATGTTAAGTTATGATATTACTAGTCCGACCTATTTAGCTATTCTTATAATAATACTACAAATTGGTTATATTTATTAAAATTATAATTATAATATAAATAATAAAAAAAAATTTCATTTATCAAGTTTTATATATTTTTCGGATCTATTAATTATTAATTTTATTTATTCAGTCCATATTTTATGAATGTGAAGTTTTTCTTCCTGCGAATAAATTTTCAAGTCGCAAATTACTACACAATACATCGATCAACATTAAAAGTTGTTAACAGTCAATTAGCCCTGTAATAAATAAAATTTCAATTAATAATGGTAGTAATTGATTAGATTTAACAAAAGAAAAACGATATTGTTAACCAAATACCGAAAAAAAACAATTGATACACGGAAAATAATAGTTTTCATTTACTGATAGACACCAATTAACTTGATTTAACAGAAAAAAAAATCTTGAACTAAGAAATTTATTTTAGAGAAAACCGATCCTTTACTCAAGAATTATATATGATTAAAGCATAGACGTTTCTCAGTCAATATAATCAAATGCTTCACGTAATATTAATATAAGGGGCTCTATCACTGCAATTTTTGTTTTTTTCGGAACGCATCTTCTCTTAAGACTTTTAAACCATCAAACGGGGAAATTCAAACGACAAATTTTTAAAGAAAATTGAATGTTCTACAAAAGAATGGTCTTAAATTTTTGATTAGTTGATTCCTTTAAAAGTTATTTAAGCTTAAAGTAGAATTTATCGAAAACTTCCCGTTTATTTTTTTTTTTCACTTTTTTACTCAATTAACAATATATTCAAATCAAATCTCGGTGTCTAGTGCGTATTGTTGATAGTTGTAGTAACAATCTACGACTAGCTATGTATTAGATGGCTTAAAATAAAATATTTTTTCCGTGTAATTATTAAATAGTATTATGAATATATTTACAATTGAAAATGAAGGTACAATAGCGAAATAAAATCGTTTCTCTAAAGTCTGACTATTAAAAAGTTATATTTACCGGTTGATAAGCTGCTTGCCACCCAACATTATTTGAATTGACATTTGATCTTTGCATAGTTCGATCTTCATATCTTGTACTTCCCTGGCTCGCCATTGGTCGGTTTAATGTGCTGAAATCATAACTATAATATATGTATAATCATAATATTCTTTCATAAATAATTTGGTTAGTTTAACCTAGAAAAAATTTACTTAAAATTACTTAAATATTTTTACCTGTTAGCATTACTTGGAGAATTAAGCCCTGAATTCCGCGCTGCAACGGTTTTAGTTACAAAGTCAGCTTCCTTCCAGCCGTGTTTCTTATAGACTTCTCGTAACTCAGTATGCTGCCACATTGTAAATAATACTTGACCTGGACATTAAATATCAATTAGTGGTAAATTAATAATCAATTAAACGGTGTAAATTAAGAAACTAATTTTTGATTTACATACCAGCGAATTTCAAAACACGAGCAGTGTATTTTTGACGCTGCTTTGTAATATTCATCAATCTTTCAACGCCACCAGCATCCAATAGTGATCTTGAAAATTCAGCGTTTCGTTTAATAACTTCATTCAATGTTGCAAGTACAGCAGCGATTGTATCATCACTTGTTCCTTGATCATGCTGATTATTACCAGATGGTAGTTTTTGAATCAAATCTCTCATAGCATATTTTCCAATTAATTCTTTATTACGTTGATCAATAGCAAGGTTTCTAAGAGCAGTGGCTACTGCACATACTACACGATCGACCTAAATAATTATTGATAAAATTAGTCACTATGATTGTACAATATCATTGTATTTACATATACGACTGTTAGTTTAGTTATAATTACCTCCATTCGCAGTAACTCAACTAAAATCGGTAGGCCTTTTTCTTTTCTTACAGCTGCACGGATCTCAATACTTGGTTGCCAATAACATGCAGCAAGATTTTGTAGAGCTCCAGCAGCTGCTTCTAAGGTTTCAGGATTTGAGCAAGTTTGTAAGAGACTGAGATAACATTGAACTACTTCAGGTTGCCATAAAAGTTCCATTCCTTTAATCGGTTCAGTTCGAGCGCTGACTGACTTAGATGTTGTTACTTCCTTTTGTGGTGGTTGCCCATCTTTTCTTCTTTTACTTCCACCAAAACAACCCAAGTTTTCACCTTTAAATACAGAATAAATTACATTACTTAATAGTTTGCTGAGAGATTCATAAAAAGTGATGATGTGAACGAGAACTTTGAAAAATTTTTATGTCTAAGCTTTAAGGAGGTATCAATAAAGATGTCGTTATAGCTCCTACCTCAGAGAAGAAAAAATAATTTATCGGTAAAATTGCAACTGTTTAAAAAAAAAGTCATTTTTTTGATTCTTTTTTTATTCACAGCTATGAACTTTTTTTAAATAAAAAATTTTAACATAAATCTGATAGGGGCGATTGGTTATATAGATAAGGTTCATTTCAAATTTCAAGTGTCGGTTCATTAAAACTTAAAAAATTGTGTCAACCGTGATGAGATAGTAGTTTCGGAAAAATATGTTTAATTTGATGATTTTTAATATTTTAGATATTCTAAAAATTTCAATAAGTTTCTAATATTTTTCTTTTTATCTTTTTTTTTTTTTATTAAACTTGAAAGAACACGCAAAAATTTCCTGTTTTTTACGAGAAGCTTTTTGTATTTAAAATTTCTATGTGCAACGTTACAATAGAAAAATAAATAACTCAAACGATATTTATAATTAATTATCAATAATGACAAAAAAAATTTTATGTTACTCGGCCGTGCAGTATCGATTCAGACAATCTCGATTTTACGATATTCGTCCAAGATCTAGAATGCTTTTTACAAATTTGTCTTTTCGCTAACAAATGAAAGTTGATGCTTGGTGATCTCGTTGTGTTATACTAACTTTATTTACCTTTTACAGGAGCTGTTATACGATTCTGGACAATCGACTGGATTGGATGCTTATCATAATTAGGATCTTCAACTTCTTGACATCGATAGCTTAAGTTTCTTAAAATACAGACACAATTTTCGACGATTTTATTTCCGATATTTGATTTTTCAATTGCACATCGTACAACATATAAAAGAGCATCGACGAGGCCGTCACATTCACGTAATTTTTTCCGTGCATATTCACCAGCACTAGATATATTTCTTAGGACTCCAGATGCGTTTCTAAATACTGTTGACCAACAAGTTTCACCATTGGAAGCACTTGGATCCCACCCACTGTGAGGAATTATAATGTTGTTAACTACAAGAGTAACACCATCATCAATAATCGCTTTCTTTAAATCTTCACATGATGATAAATTCCAAAGTACGCCTGTCACTAATTCCTTTATTTCTGCATCGGAAGTTTTGCGCAATAAACTAATTAGCGCTGGTACACCACCGGCATTCTTAATGGCACGTTTATTTTCATCATTTTGACGGCCATATGACAAATTTCGTAATGCCCCACATGCGTTTCGGTATACATCAGGGCTTTCATTATCTAATAACTGCACTAATGGAGGAATGCCACCCAAGTTTCGTGTTTTTTGTTTGTTCGGATCATCCATGTAACAAAGATGTTGAAGATATGCAGCAGCATTAGCTTTTATTACGTTGTTTGGATTACTTAGAAAACCGATAACTTCTGAAAGGTTTGGATCTCTCCAACGCATTGACTTTGGATCATCACCCAAAGGGCTAACCATTCCTGGTACTGAGTGACGAGTTTGTAGTCGCTGAAGATGCACATCATCTTCAAATATTCCTGGAGCTAAGTTTCCAGGCAGTGTAACAGGATGAGAGTCATCGTAAGACGGCCCATCACTTACTAATGGTACTGGTACGACTCCAATATTGGGCCCATAAGATACTGGTCCATAGGGCGATGGTGATACATAACCATACGCCAATTTATTTTCATCTAAAACAATATTTTTCTTATTTCAAATATTGGTCAAATACATTCAGTTTTACTATGTTAGATAATCATAAATGTAAGACTGTATTAGAAAACATTTTTGGTATGAGATAAAAAGTCAATTATGAACAGGGGTCCGATTATTGGTATTATATGTTTTTTTTAAGATTTATTTAACTACCTACGATATAAAGAATAGTCGGATACTATCGAATTTTCAATAAAACCGCTCTTTTTTTGGTTTTTTGCACGTAACTTTTTTAATAATGGTCGAAATTCAAAATTTTTAACTTCCCGGTAAGAAAATCGGGAAGTTATTGTTTTTACCCCGTTTTGCAAAAATCGAGTTTTCATCAGATCTCGACGTTTGAAGGACACAGGAAGCTTCCCTGACTATCCCCGCGAGGTTGTCACTATGTCTGTATGTATGTATGTATGTGTGTGTGTGTGTGTGTGTGTGTGTGTGTGTGTGTGTGTGTGTGTGTGTGTGTGTGTGACTGTGACTCGCTTATAACTTTTGAACGACTCAACCGATCGGAACCAACCAAACGGCGTTCTAAAGAGTTCCCTCAAACTTAGATTTCCTGTGAATTTCAATCGATTCGGACCGATAGATTTTGAGAAATCTAAAAAAAATCGGAAAAAATTTTTTTTTGAGTGGTTTTTTTGGAATATTTTTTAAACGGCTACATCGATTAACTCTTGAGCTTGAAAAACCACGTCGATCACCGCTAATCCGGTCAAAATCGGTTGATTCGTTCGAGAGATAGCATGAACGAAAGAAATCCGAAAAAAGTGTTTTTTTTTCACATAACTTCGATATTTCTTTTCGGATCGTTTTTGGTGAAATAGAATAATTTTTAAATCTCAAAAAACCGCGGCGATCGCCGCCAAGAACGTGAAAATCGGTTGATTGGTTCGAGAGATATTCTCGACGAAATATTTGGAAACAAGGATTTTTTCAACATAACTCCGACATTTTTTGGAATAACTTTCAAACAGCTCTATCGATCGATTCCAAAAACTAATCAAGCTCTTAACATCAAAAAACCACGTTGATCGCCGCCGGTCCGGTCAAAATCGGTTCATTTGTTCGTGAGTTATCGTTGACGAAAGAAAACCGAAAAAAGTGTTTGTTCAGAATTACTCCGAAATTCCTGGTTCAATCAAACTAAATTTACAGATTCTTCATGGGGTTTAAAAAATTGCGTCAAATGCTGCCAACCACGTAAAAATCGATTCATTTATTTAAAAGTTATTGTAGTTTGAAAATTTGAAAAATTGTGTTTCATCAAACTTCTATCAGACTTTTGAGCTCTTCGAGAGTTAAGAAGGTCTACAGGAAGTTATAGAAAAGCTATCCCTTTGAGCTCAGAGAGCTCAAAATAACACATAAATTGTATTTTTGAGCTCGGAGAGCTCAAAAACATCATTAGTGCAATTTTAAGCACCTAGGTATGAAATTAGCGGGAAGTTGCACGGATGGCCTTTAGGGCCTACCGTTTTTCTAATTTTTTTTTTCAAAATTTTCGTTTTTAAATGCCCTTTTCAGAAAAAAATATAAAAAAAATATTCAAATTATTTTTCATTAAGATTTTTTAATCGTGTTTTCCAAAATTTGTGCATCCGTCGATTTTTTTGAAAATTTGCTATTTTGAACTTCTATCCTTCTTTCAACTTTTAAGCCCGGTCCGGTAAAGGTCCTTACATAATTACTATTTTTTATCGATTTTAAAAAATTATAAATTATTATCAGTACCGATTTTTTAAACTCTGTACTTCTTTTTTACTTATAATAAATTGATTTTGATATATTTTTGCCCCAAATAGGAATTTTAAAGAAATGAAGAAAGACTAATTTTATTTACGAGTAACTATTAACAACCGTTTTTATTTATTTTCTTAGCGGTATTGTATCGCAAATCTAATCTTTTTTTTGCCTCAATATAGTCTATTTCAGGTGAAAAGTTGATAACAATATTTGGTAGATTTGTTGGTCTCGACGCCCAGTTGTACAATAGTTATTTGGTCATCAAGTGGCCGTTGAAGGCTTGTTCTTGCTGCTTTTCTTTTTACCGTTCCTCCAATACCATCACATGGCCCTTTACCATGTGCTGTTGCGGAGTATTGCTCCAATTGTTGTGGAGTTCTATCCGAAAAGTAAAAAACTTTAGCTGCATTGGGGTCTAATTCTTTTATAAAATCGGTAACAATCTTCAGAAATACATGAAGGGCGACAGTGTCATGGTTATTGTTATCAGATATGATGACTAAACTTCGGTGAATAAGTTCGCCATTATGTTTGAAATAGATTACATCAGGAAAAATCGTTGCTTGATCGTTTCGTTCCAATGAAACTCTAGCACTGCATCTTGTATCACAAGAGCATAATTTTCTGCAAAATCGCAAATGGCTATGAACTCACGATTGTTTTGTTTTTGTTTCAAAAAAGCCGATTGTTCTTTAGCAACAAAATCATGCGGTAATAAATTTTTTATATGATCAGAGAATATTTCGACAAATTCTGTAGAGTTTTTTTATACATAATAATAATAACTAAGGAGTATTCAAGTTTAAAAAACGGTCGTTTATGTAAAATATTTAAAAAAACACGAAAATAAATAAAAACGGTTGTTAATAGTTACTCGTAAATAAAATTAGTCTTTCTTCATTTCTTTAAAATTCCTATTTGGGGCAAAAATATATCAAAATCAATTTATTATAAGTAAAAAAGAAGTACAGAGTTTAAAAAATCGGTACTGATAATAATTTATAATTTTTTAAAATCGATAAAAAATAGTAATTATGTAAGGACCTTTACCGGACCGGGCTTAAAAGTTGAAAGAAGGATAGAAGTTCAAAATAGCAAATTTTCAAAAAAATCGACGGATGCACAAATTTTGGAAAACACGATTAAAAAATCTTAATGAAAAATAATTTGAATATTTTTTTTATATTTTTTTCTGAAAAGGGTATTTAAAAACGAAAATTTTGAAAAAAAAATTTTGAATTTCGACCATTATTAAAAAAGTTCCGAGCAAAAAACCAAAAAAAGAGCGGTTTTATTGAAAATTCGATATTTTTTGAACCAGTGATCAAAATATCTCAAAATTTTTCAGGCAGCCTCTTTGGGGGTGGGGGGGTACTAAAAAATACCAAAAAATTGAGAATATCTAAAATTTAAATTTTTGAAACCGTCCGATTTGGCGTGGAACGCCCCATATATATCAGCTCGATATCTAAAAAATTGGGCTGGTGCATGGAGAAAGAGGGGTTTCCTTTCATTCAAGGAAGATTTTTAAAAATCAATTTTTTTTTCATTTTCAAAATAATTATGTGCAAAGCAAGAAAAAATCAAAATATTAAACGCTGAGATTAATTAATTTTTCACAAAGAAAAAAATTTCTTTTTATTTGAGTTTTAAGGATAGGGCTATTATTCTCTTCACTCTAAACATAATTTTACACCAGTAGAACATTTTTTTGTGTAACTTGAATGACTGAATAAGAAATATAAATATAATATTTATCATACACTTTCAATGTTTCAAAATTATTAAGGTGTCTCCACTTTTTGTCGCTGTTTTAATCAATAAAATGATAAGAGACAATTTAAAGAAATCTATTTCAAGTCAAACTTTAGACTTAACAAATATAAACTGTATAAAATATATATAATATACTAAATTTATATATTGAAAATCAAATAACAGCCCAAATAATATTAAAAGAAATGAAGGATGAAAGCTTTTAATATCATGGATTTAACAATATATAACTAACCATACTGGTCACCTGGACCACCTGGACTTGGTGTTATTCGATAATGATCTTGTAACGTGGGATTAAGTACAGGTCCCATATCATTGTATCCGCCGTCGACATATGTAGATCCTTTTCGCATGTATTCTAAGAGGACGAAAGTTAAATTTAATTTTAATTAGTACTTTTGTAATTTAAGTAACTTAGTTGTTGGATTTCATTTATTCACATGATATGTAATATAATATTATATTTAATTACTTTACCATGCGGTGGTGTTGTACGGCTATGTTCCGATGGACTGTGTGGACTATGGGGTGAACGTGAATCCGATGCATATGTGCTATGTGGTGGATAATCTGACTGAGAATTATATCCAACGTAAGGATCATAGTGTTCAAAATTCACCATATATGGGTCTGCCGCGTAGCAAGGATTTCCATGAGAATAGTCTTGTGACATTAATGGTACGGGAATATAATTAACTCCACCTGCTTCTGAAGCTACGTGTGATACTTCTCGAATAACTTTAGTAACAGACGTCATCTATAAGATTTAAAAAAAAAAAAGGATTTATATAAGTCAGCAAGCACTAAAAAATACCATTGGCTGCTAATCTTCAAGTAATAAATCTTGTTTAATCATTTTATTACATACATGTTGAGATGTTTGTTGATTATGCCCTCTCACGCCTAAGGGATCATCTTGTACTGATAACTGAGATGAGTGCACGGAATGGGTTTCCGGTTGTCCATTGCTAGTATGATAATCTGACTCACTTGGGCCACTTCAATTTATCAAGTATAAAAAGGTCAATTTTAACATTCGAAAACAATTTTTTTTTATATTATGAAATCAAAACAATTTCATACACTATGTGTCAGTTACATTTAGGTAGTATCTCTTTTCGCATACATGCAGATGAAAAATAGTTTGCACTATTTTAGATTGAGAATATTTTGATAAGCTAATGTATACAAGCGTTATTTTTTAAAAATATAACTACTTTGATAAAAAGACTATGTTGACACAAAAAAAATCATTTTTCAAAAAAATTTGTTTGTTAAATAATTCGGTTATAGCTAGGGCTGTACAATTTAGCCGGTTAAGTCGGCTAGAAAAGTTAGCTAAGTTAATTAGCTAACTAACTAGTTAGTTACCTAATTAACTTAGCTAACTTCTCTATAGCCGACTTAACTGACTAAATTATACAGCTCTAGTCATAGGACTTCTAGAATTGCCTTGAATCTTTTCATCTTTAAGAACTAGCTTTCTCAATGAAAATAGCGAAAAAAATCTTTTAAAAACAAAATTTTTTTTCAACATATTTTAAAACTTATTTGGGAATTTGTTTTACGACAAAGAAAAGGAACAGAAATTCTAAAATTTTTCGTTTCAACGAAATCGTTAATCCAAAAGAAATAAATTTTGTGACCAAGTATATGTGTATCTTCTTTGGAAATCAGTAAAGTGTTAAAATTGAGAAGAAAATTTTTTTTCTTGAATCAAGTAGTTTTCTCTCAAAGAAGAAAACTTTTGAAGTAATAATGCAAAGTGTATAATTTATATGATAGTAAGCTGATAGATTTAATCATAAAAAAATTCTAGTTTTAGTAGTGGTTAAAGGTAGCTTTACTCATTTTCAAAGTTTAAACATTTCGAAGATCAATATACGGTTCAAAAACCAGACTTTATTCTAGAATGTATAATTTAAAAAAAAAAATTGAATATAATTTTTAATTTACCTTACAATGGCCGACGGAATGAAAGATTTATCTTAAATTCATAAAATCATCTATAAACTTAAAAGAATAAAATCAAAATACAACTATTTTGCAGTAAAGGATATGAACTTGCATAAGATTTCTGGTTGTGCTCCTTAGCGACTGTAATGAGAAATTGTAGCATGCTACATCATTCTTACTCGATTTGCACTAACAAGAGGAAGCAGCAGTCTAAGGTAAAATAAACCAATTCAGCATCACTGACGAGTCCATTAGTGTACTTAGGACAAAACTGTCTATTTAGATAAGTGAATTTATAGTTTACTTGAAGTATTTAACAAACAAACAATATTTGGGCTCAACTTTATGATCCAAGTAGTGGTTATATATTCTTTGTAATACTCTTACGAGTATAGAAATGATTTTACTTTAAAAAATAAACATTGAGCAAAAAATTTACAGTTAAATTTAAAAAATCAACGTAATTAATTCATTTATACCTACTAGCCGATATCTGGTATTTTCAAAATTGGATTTTCACTCTTAAAAAATGAGTGAAACCTCATATCTAAGTAAATATTTCAAGTTTTCGTATCAAAAAATCTTTATTTGACGAAATAAAAGTGGTTAATCAAGCAATTTTTTATAAGAAGATAGTTTTTGTGTGTTCGCTGAGCGATAAAATTCATTAAAAGAGTGGCCATAAAGAGATACTACCTTACTAAGTGTAAAAGAAAAGATAAGTTTAATAGAATAGTGTAATCTACATTGCATGCAGATTAGAAATAATATTAGTAAACTTAGTCACCTCTGTTTTATTTCGATACGTGTTATGTTGTGCTCTTGTCTCTGCTCTATTCTTCGATTTACAAGCCTATGATATTAAATTTTAAGCATCGTACTTAGTATGCTCTTAAAAAAAATTTGAGATTTAAAAAACAGCAGTAGATTTAATAGATTGTTGATGAACTTATTCCAAGAAATTCTTCTAAAGTATTTTAAAGCTACATATGTTGAATTTTTGATCATAAAATATGGATGGAAAAAAAGTTTTTGCTTCAATGAATTAGGTCAAAAATCAAAAAAAGTGATTTTTTTTTATTTTTAAAAAATCTCAATTGACAATTTAAAACTTGACTTGAAAAGTATGAAAAAACTCCCATAAATTGGGCAAACCAAAAATAAAAATCTTTAAAACTCTGGAATGGAATTCCTCGTATATAATAATATATAATAAGATATTAATTAGACTGTTAAGTAGACCATTCTTCGATAAAGATATTGATTACTTGAATGAGATTTATGAGTGCGTGTAGTGATAGTTACGATATCTTTTATTACTAGTATCGAGCAATTGTTCATATTATCAAATTAATTACAAATGTTACAAATATGTAAGAGATACTTATGAAAGTTCTACAAACACATAATTATGAATCTGGGAGTAAGATCGAAGATATTACGTTCTCGATCGTGTGGAATGTGAAAAATAGAACAATGAAAGATAATAAATACTAAATAAAACAAAATTAAAAAAAATTCATTTTAATAAAAAGTGCTTTGTATTAGAGAGTTTTCAAAAGTATATGAAATAATAAATAAATCTCTCGAAGAGATGCTTTTAAATCTTTTTAAAAATTCGAATTTCGATCGATTTATTCGATCTAATAGGATATTATAATTTGATTAAAATGAAACAATCTAACTAATGCTAATGAATTAATAATCATTTCTTATATTTATTTATTAATTTTCAGCTCCTACACTTATTATTTGTTGCTAAAAATTCTTATGTATATCATGATAGGATACATTTACAATAAATTTACCGAAAAAAAGCTCTCTAGTCGAGGAAATAATTTATCAAGATGATAATTGTATTAGTTAAAAACAAATCTCTTGTTTTTCAGTATATATTCATGCAGACATCAAATTGAAACGTTGACATATGATGAAAACTCGATTTTCGAATATCGGACTAACAACAAATTTCCGAATATTTGAAAATTTAGCAACCAAATTTATCATAGTAATCTAGTTTTTAATTATTTCATACGTATTCCTTTTTTTTTCTATGTTCCACACCATGAGGAACGCTGTATCTAATACATACAGCTTTTTTATACTATCAATATTAATTGATAAATCATGTCTTTTAAATTTATTGAATATAAAAGAAAAATTGACCAAATTTTAAATAAATGATAATAACGGTAAAATTTATTTACGGTCGAGTCTGTAAATTAGTAATTAGTAATTAAATTATCATTTTTATCGAAAATGATCTAGAGACTTTTTAACACACATATTCATAAAATGCACCTTCTACTTCAGAGGAAAAAGTAATGAATATCTAGTTTTAATATAGTACCAAATAACTTGCACCTCTTTCAGAAAGTTGCCATGATATCTGTTCTAATGTACATACATGTTGAACATATATCCTAGCTGGAACATGCGACACATTTAACCAAAAAATACCGGATAATATAGAATACATTATACAACTGAATTTAATATTACCTTTTACCATATACATAGATATAGAAAAAAAAAGAAGAATAATGGCAACATAAGTTATAGTAATTTATGAGGAATATATGTGAAGATTCGTTTCCTTTTGTTTAATAGTAGTAAGAATAAAATAAATGAAAAATTCATTGAAGTACATGATTCATACTTACAGACATGAGTCAACCATCTGATTATTTGACATGCCTGATGGAATTTTTTTATTTAGTCTGTCACCGTCCGGCTAGTTGGAACAAAAAATAGTAAATTATTTTATGATATAATTTGGACTAATAAAGTATACTTTTCTAAGTGTATGTAATAATATTAATTTTAAAATTCACATGAACATAAATCATGCAAGTTATAATTATAAATTAATACAACACTTTTATTTTAGCAACGTTTTGATCAGATTTATTTGATCTTCTTTAGGTATCACAATATATAAAATCCAATGAGCATTGAACCGTGATGGCCAATATATTTGGATAATTGGAGAGAAGTAAAATTTTTTATTTAAAATTAGGGATTCACACAACGGTTCTTATTTTCTGTGTTTAAAGCCAAAACGCACGAAAGATTAATTAATTATTTTATTAATTTATTTTTATACATGTTTGTTTATTAAAAATAATAAAAGTCGTACATTAAAAATACATGTGTGATTGACTAAACAAACAGAAATTAAAAAAAGCCATGCATTTCTTTGAATAAAAAAATAAATATCATCTGAATCTGAACAAAAAAAAAAGACCGCTGGTTGCGGTACACACAAGTTTTAATTCACTGTTTTTTTTTTTTTTTTAATCTGGCTCTAGAATAATTATTTTTGGAAAAGCCGAGGCTAGGGTTCCACTCTTTCGTGTGTTTTTAGATAAAGGACTCAGTTACTGACCGTGGCTCAATTTCTGACCTTTACAATTTTATTTTTAATTAAAAACAGTAACTTTTTAATTTTTTTTTTAATATTGATTTTCATAGCAGTACAAAAGTTACAAATTTTTTAGTTCAATAAGGGAATAATTTATATGTTATATGTTATATCAAAGTTGTAACGTAACATATTCTATATTTAATCAATAGTCATTACAAGATTTAACAATAATGATAGATAGTGAACGAATTAAAAAATTCTAAAAAATTAAAAAATTGAAGACACTATATGAAAGTCATCTTTTATTTATAGTCTAAGTACTTTGTGTGGAACTTACCAAGATTGAATTCAATGTTTTTTAAATCATATAAACATCAGAATGAGAAAGAAACTCATAAATAAGTCAATAATTAATTACAGTTTAGTTTAATGTTAAGAAAAAAAATTTTTTTTTAATTTTGTTGTTATACTATGAAAGTCAATAACTGGGTCTAATTTTCTATTTACGTAGCAGTTGTTAACCTTATGATTCTAAACTATTACAAACAAGGTTATCTGGATGTTGATATACTGATAAAACCTCAAAAAGTGAATATTTATTATATCATTGACTATTAGACTATTTCTTATTATAAATATCATAAATTCTTATCAAATATTTATTTGGATGAATCAAAAATTATATTTGTCATTAAAGAAAAATTATTTTGAGTAATAACATGATTATTGGAATAGTTTAAATAATAATTACTGTGACAATTAAAATACCTAATTGAGTTTATAAGTTGAATTGACGTATAACATAATTTATTTCTTTTCATTAATAAATTACCAAGAACGAAAAATTGTGAAAGAGTTGCTAAGATTAAAAAAAAATAAAATAAAAGAATTCTATTGAATTTTGTATTTTTGGAAATATTTTTTTTCTGAATTAAAATTAATTTTTATCAAGTTTCTTATTCTAAACTAAGTCAAAAATTACGTTTTTTTTTTTTTTTTTCAATATAAGGGTCCGAAAATGCAACATGAGAATTGGCGAGGGTCAGAAACTGGAACTTTGAACATCATTTCTTGAAATATTTATTAAAATTATCAACTTAATTAAAACAATTTTTACGATCAGTACATTCTAAATTGGCAAATAAAATCATTAATTTATTATTTCAGTTGAGTTTTGCAATAACTATTGGAATGTAACTTGAATAATTTTAATCGGTCAGACACTATACCTTAATAAGAGTTTGTTATTTATCAAAGAAAAATTAAGGTATTATAATGAAATTTAAGATAAAATTTGACAAAAGTAATCATACTACTGTTAATAAATTAATGTTTAATTTAAAAAAAAAATTAAATTATCGAACCTTTATCATATGCATTTCTCAATCGGAGATAATTCAATTAGCTTATTGACAAATGTAAATAATTGAATCCATCTGTAAGAAAAATATTGAATATTCATTTATTAAAGTACACAAAATCATTGTTATTACAAATACAACTCTTAATTAAAATAAAATCTAAATTTAATTACATTGTGAATTGATTTTACAAAAAAAAAAAAAAAAATATAAGCATATTAAGTTTGAAAAAAAATATTTTCTGAACAATTGACATTCGAAGGAAAATTATTTTACTAAAAAATTGGAGTGATAATATAGTATCAAGTATAATACTATTAAAAATTTTTAGCTCTTACAAATTTAATCTCCAGTGAATTTTAGAATTTGACACCAGTATTATTATAAATAAAAATTTATCAAATTATGTTAATCGTTTAATAATAAAACTTTCCTTCTAAAAGTGGTAAATAGTTACTACTAGTTTTAATTGACATTCAAGAAATTTTTTAGTTTCAGAATTTTGAAAATCTTTTTAATAAATGAAAATAATTTCTTCAACAACAATAAACTATTTTTGAGCAAAGAATGTCACCACATAATCCACGATAGATGAGTAAGTTTTCTTGACTAGAAATTCAACCATTGAGGGCCTACTCTTTTAACTAATAGTGGGGATTTATAAACCGGGTCGGTTTATCAGTTTATCCAACGTCAAAAATTTGTCGAAAAAGATTTTCTTAACTTGATAAGACAACAGTTCAATCAAAGAAGAATATTTCTTGAATCGCGAATTGAAAATAACACACTTTTCAGCTACAATAAACATTTGTCTAAGAGAAGTTTTTATTATTTTAAAGAGTTTATTTTTCAGACTAAGAATATTACATCTTCCATCATGTAAATCATTTCTGGATCAAGAGTTTTTTTCTTTGGTTCAAAAACAAGATTTGAAAGAAATTTTTCTTTTTGGTTCAAGATGTTCTTTGTGTATCTGATTTTTTAATTTATGGAATATGATGTTGATTACAGTACTAAATTAAGCATGTGCGTTTGTTGTAATAAACAAAAGCGAATTACTAGAAACAAAGAAATGAACTAGAATTATGAATATAATTTCAAATTACTCCGTTTCTTATCATAAAGAATTGTTACAAAGGTTTTTTGACAATGAAGAATGTTTGTTTTATGATTTTTAATTTCTTTATTTATATCCTTGTATTTTTTGTAAGCGCTATTAAACTCGAATTCCATAACACTTTTGAAGTAATTTAGGAATTTAGTAATTCTAAAAATACCTTTGCACGAAAAAAATGAATGTGAAATAATTCTAGAATACAAAATACTTAAGTTAGCATTAATTGACGATTCTTAACTTTAATTAGACAATTAAGTTGTTACTAAAAAAATGTTTGTTTTTGATTTGCTCTTAATTTATTTTAATTTCCTACATCATACTTTTGTTATTTAAATCAGTAGACATCCGGACATTTTTAGTTTTGTTTGAAAAACAAATTAGTTATGAAGTAAAATAAAAAAATATATGTATTCGTAAAATTTTTTAATTTTAACATTTAGAATTTTAAAAAAATTCTCTTTTTGTAAAAAAAAAAAAAAAAAAAAATTTTTAACCATAATATCACAAATAAAAAAATAAACAAAAATTTTCCTAACTTTATATGTATATTTATATGTATACTACACCTTATAAAAAATTATTTACAATGTAAATGTTAATTTAAAAAAAAATTATTGAAATCAACAGACATATGACCATTTCTGGGTTTTTTTAACAAAATATTTTTTTTTTTTTTTTTTTAGAATTTACTTGACAAAAAAATTATCATTTGTGTTAATTTGAGTTTCATAAAAAAACTGTTACATTTATTTTGCTAAGATAATTCCATTCTTAGTTTCACAAACATACAATAATTTCAATGACACTGAAGTTAGCAGACGTCTAAAAATTTTTGATTTTTTTTATTAATCAAATTACAACTAAAAAGATATTTATAAAAAATTGCACTTATCATTTTTTAAGTTTTTTACATGTGAAATTTTTTTTGTCAATTGTTCAATTGAAATTTTTTCAATAAAAAATTTCTAAAAATTTTGAAATATCGGCTAACTTCATTTTTATTAATTTCAAGTATTTTTTAAAAACAATAATTAGGTTCTAGTAGGAAAGGATAAAAATACTCAAACAATTTTATGAGCAAGTTAATTGGATTTGTTAATTGGAATTTAATTCACCGCCAAATAAATTATTTCAGTATTTAAATAACTATAAAGATTATTGAATAATGTAATGAAATAATCGTTTGAATTGGAAATCGTCAAATAAACTAAATTACGTAGAAAATATTATTAAGAATATTGTATAAACTTACGAATGCGTGGATTAAATTCATTTAAATATTCAAGAGATGAATTTTTTCATGTAAAATATAGTAAACATTTTCAGAGTATGAAAAATGCTGCCGAATGTAATAATACATATAATTTCAATAATTAATACAACAAAAACTTTCTATCACTCAAGCGCGTGTTTAGGTAGAATATTATTTGATATTCACGGGAATTTTCGCCATAAAATAGATCACAAATGTTAATTTAACCACACTTGATGAAATCGCCAACGCCTTTACAGTGCATAGCTCCTACATACATATATACATCCACATACATTTAATATATATGGAAATTTTTATAAAAACAGTTGGTGTGTATAGAATCAACTCGACAGAACTGACATCCAGTGTTGAATCTTCGAAGTACCAAGCGTCTCACTGCTCCTCACCACCAACAAAAAATCATAAAATGGTTATTTTTCTGTTAATATGAACTAGTAACTTTGTAAAATTTTAATCAATAAATATATTATTGATTATTAATTATTATTATGAGCTACAGATTATAAAAGATGTTTTAAAACATTATTATTACTTGATTTTTTAGGTATTAACATAAATATAACGGCAATGAGCAATGACATACATATTCGGACATTTTATTGATGGAGCAAAAAATTCTCTGCAATA